ATAGTGAGTTAAAGCGTTATTGCATTTTATTACATAATACTATATATTTTCATTGCTAGCATAAAAATACAGATTTCTCTTATATGTTTGTTTCTTCTAGTTAGTGAAAGATATACTATGAAGCCTTATTTTAAAATATTACTTTAAACACAACCACTACTCATGAGAAGTTAGCCTCATTTCATATTTGAGAATTCTTTTCAAGTCAACACAATATTCCCTAAGATAAACTTGTTATTGTCAGGAGTCAGCAAATTGAATACAACTCATAGCAACCCTATGAACAACAGATCTGAACCCTGTCCTGTCCTGCACTATCTTTACACTTCCTGACACATAAGAGTCCACTGTGACGGTCACCATGTCAATCCAGCTGGTCGAGTGTCTTCCTCTCCTTCATCGACCCTCCAACCAGCATCATGTTCCTCTCCAAGAAAAAAATAATTTTACAACATAGCCCTATATAAAAAAGCACTATAAGAAATCACTAATGAAATAAGCTTTGCTATTTTTAAAAGATTTAGCAAACAAGGCTTTTTTTTTAAGGCTACTTTCTAAAGGAAATATTCTTTGAGATAAAACAGATTTTGAAGTATAATGAGACCTTAATAGTTTCTGATAAGAGAACATATGGTCAATATATTATGCAAATTACACTATAGCTTGTCCCAGACAAATAGTATTTAGTGAAACTCTCTCCCATTGCCCTGATGGTGTAGTGGGTTAAGTGGTTAAGTTGATAACTGAAATGTCAGTGCTTTGAATCTATCAGATGCACCAAAGAAGAAAGGTGAGGCAGTTTACTCCTATTAAGATTTACAGTATCAAACACCCAATGGGGCAGTGGTGGTGCTCTATCCTCTGGCCTAAAAAGCTACTATGAATTGGAACTGACTTCACAATCGTGAGTTTTTTGTTTTTTTTTCTTTTTTGTCTCCCAGAGATTTAATTAAAAGAAATCTCACTATTATTTTAGTTTTCTTATACATCAAAAAGAGAAGGGTCTTTAAATAATACAAAACAAAATAGTTCACTCAGCTAGCTAGTTTCACCAACACCTTGCAGGGATGAGTAGCCTACAAGGTCTTGGAGGTGTGTTACCTAATTTAAGCAATAAAGTGGAGAGCAGGTAAGATTGATCAAATAATTGTGAATCACTAGCTCTTTGAAAAGAAATGAAAACTCACTTTCCTTCTTCTTAGCATATTCTTCCTTAAGGTCTTGGATATTTGAAGTCAGTACTTCTATTTCCTGCTTTTTGCATTTTACTTCTGAAATCATCTTTAACAAGTTCTCTTTCTTCCCTTGAATGAGCTTGTTTTGTTTGCAGATCTCTGTAAAAAGCACAAGGTATCAGCAAGAATCTAAGGGCAATATGCTTGCCTTTCCTTCCATAATATGTTTATAAGACCAAAAGTACTGGCTTTCATAAATTTAACAGAGAAAACTTTGATTGATAAAGTATTTCCTAGTGGTTAAAAAAATAGCACAAGAACAAAAAAAACACAACAAAAATTCTAATCTATTCTCTTGCTTGTCTTTGAAAACAATGAGATAGACACCACAAGATAAATAATCCAATTGAAAAATGGGCACAGGATATGAACAGATACTTCACCAAAAAAGACATTCAGATGGCTAAACAAACACATAAAGAATGTTCAAAATCCCTAGCTATAAGAGAGATGCAAATAAAACAACTATGAGATATCATCTCACCCCAGTAAGAATAGCAAAATTTAACAGAACAGCAAACAACAAATGCTGGCAAGGTTGGTGAGAAACTGGAACCCTTATTCACTGTTGCTGGAAGTGTAAAATGGTGCAACCACTGTGGAAGGCTGTATGGCTCTTTCTCAAAAAGTTGCAAATAGAGATACCATTTGATCCAGCAATTCCACTACGGGGAAGATACCCTAAAAAAAACCATAATCTCCAGCCAAGCAGATATATGCACACCTATGTTTATCATGGCTTTGTTCACAATAGCAAGGAGTTGGAAACAACCTAAGTGCCTATCAACAAACGAATGGATAGAGAAGCTGTGGTATATTCGCACAATGGAATACTAAGCTGCACTGAAAAACAAGGAACTCATAAAATATTATTCAAAATGGGTGACCCTGGAGGACATTAAGCTGAGTGAACTATCTCAGTCACAAGAGGACAAATACTGCATAGTGCCACTGTTGTAGGATGGGACTGACATCAGGGTTGGGGTAAGACTAAGAAAAACTGGATAAATTATATATACTGCAGTGAAACAGATGAGGGAGAGAACAGTTTAAAAGCGATTTTTGATAGGGTATTATGGTTATCAAAAGAGTCCAGAATTAAGGTTGCATAGTAGAGTGTATTTGGTGCGGTGGAAGAGGTAGGGGGTGTGGGGGGGATTGTATACCAATGAAAGACTTTTACTTTTCAGAGAGAGGAGTCAACTGGGGGGGGGAGGGGTGGGCAGGGAGAAAAGTGCAACAATGAATGAATGGAAATCCAAAATCTCTATAAATGTTCATTAAAATTAATAATTTTTAAAAAAAAATGAGATAGAAGCATTTTTTAAACGAATATGGCAAATAAAAACAAGAGTAGAAAATCAAAAGATCAATGGCCCTTGCAAATAAATACAAAAGATTCACTTGTTTTTTCTATTCAAATAAAAATATAAAACCCACCAGCAAAGACAATTAAACTCAAGAAGATGGCTTTACACATTGCTTTGAGCAAAAGCTGACCCTAAAGAAATTAATCAGGAACACACTAAACAGAAGGGGAAGAAAAATGAGGAGAAAGGGTAGAAAGGAGGAGAAAAGAGAAATGTATTTCTTTCAGTTATCAAAAAAGTGTACTAATGTATCTCCTAGGGAGCTCTGGTGGCGTAGTGGTAAGAAGTTGCAAAAAATCCCAAGAAATCCCAAAAGATGGAGGTTCAAATCCACCAGTTGCTATGAGAGAACAGGATGGGCAAGCTCCTCCCATTTGATTTCCTCCCTCTGA